ACTTTGAGATTTTGTTAGGGGCAACTGAAGCGGTGGGGGGTCGCGGGGGGGCCTCCCCCAGAAATTTTTTAAACATCAGACTCCTTTTTATGCATTTTCAGAGCATATGAGGCGAACTTTTTGTACTTCAAGTCTTGTCATAGCAATGAAACAGACAATTCCAGTACAAGGCAAAATCCACAAAGCCACAAAAACCATGAACTTGCTTGAAATTAACTGCCATCAGACTACCTCTGCGTGACGCTGATCCACAGCACTACACACCATGTGGGTTCGAAGAGCACATCACTCGATACCATCGAGCTATAAAGTTATCAGCGATGACTAGTTTCAACGTATGATATACTTAATCCGGTTATTCCAAATCAGCTGACGGAGTCTGTTTTACGGAGTTTTCTCTCCTACTTATATACGCTTGCCTCCTGGTGGCCACAGCTAGGGTGCTGATATATGTACGTACTAGGTCAATGATACTCTGTTCTATTTTGCTAATCCTCTCCAGCAGCTCCTCTTCGTCCCGCTTCACTTCGTTAATGTACAGGGAAAGGTCCTGCAGAAGAACGCGAAAAATCTACAGTCACCTTCCCGAGGTACGCAGCAAGACATGGATCTTCATCGCGGTACTCAATCGTATTCGTGAAAAAAGTTGGTAATTTCAGAAAGAATTTCAGACCTATTTTGCCCGAATATTCACATTTGGGTGGCATTCCACGTGTACGTGTGCACACGCACGCACGCACGCACGCACGCACGCACGCACGTGTACACGCACGCACGCACGAACGCGTACGTGCACGTATACGCACGCACGCACGTGTAGGTGCACACGCGAAAACTGTAGCATTACAACGACACAGATGCATGCGTATGTTTACTGTGCGGTCGAAATAGGCCCTACGAAATGTTTTTCACAAATGACCTAACCTGGAAGAATTCGTGGCAAAGTTCGCGCATGCGCAGACTGTAATTACGAACTCGCTTATTCCACGGCTACCACACTTCACACCTACATTCCACCCCTACCACACTCTCGATTAGCCACATTAATGCCCACACCGCATGGCAGCCACAGGTACACCCACACTGCGCGATACCCACGGCTACGTATATAGATAGCACTTTACCTGCAACGCGTTCAGTGCTTTTTCTATGTCCGGTTTATCCTCGTTCATATCCGGTGTTGCTTTCCATAATTCCTGGCAGCGACAAGTTTCACAAAAATTGTATGATTTATGATGAATACTGTACGATTTGTCAGAAATTGATTTATAAATAGTGTTGAAAGGCACGATAGGCCTATATATATATATACCAGTTTCTTTGGATCAGCTATAGAACTGGCACACACAAACTATACTAACTAACCGAGCAACAGCTTACATACTACACGAATATCATTTAAGGAATATTTTTAAGGTTATATTAAATTAAAGCACCCGGTGGAAAGAACATTAACATTAAATGATAATAATAGGATAATGTGTTCAGTTATTACAACTACCTTCATCAATAATTGGTATCTGAGTACCCGCTGCATTGGTACAGCAAGTAGATCCTGAAACTTGTGCTTGTTCTCATTAGCTCTCTCCTGACAGTTCTGTAGGAAAGTCAAAAGGCTCAACACACTCCACAATATCTTCCTTCTCCCAAAAGTAGATAGTATAGCCATTAATTTTATAAGCTGGACAATTCCTCGGCTAGACGTATAAATGTCATGCCAGCGGATAATACTTCTTTACCATACATGGCACCGTCAGACATCCAACACTTAAAGTTATTGAAATATGATCGAATGCAAATCGGTCATTAGTTAGGCAAACGTTTTCACAAGCACAGAACACATAAATGACAAAGTGAAGTACGATAAAGGACGACCGAATAAGCGGTTAGCTATAGAGAGACAGCATGTCTGCTAGTCTACACTAACATAGAGGAAACCCAACACTAGAAGAAGACATTGAAAGACAGCAAGGCAAATCTTTCGTCAGTTTGGTGCCTGTTGCCAGAGACAAAATCAGTCATAACCTTAGTCCTAACAGTAACTTTTATCTCATAGACCGTTGTCAGAAACATGGTAAAGTTATAGGTTTCTCATACGCAGTGTATAGAGGTCCTGTCTATGAGAAAAAGGCAATCTTAAAACCAATGTTGAGACTAAGTTTGCTTCTGACAGCGAGCCCCGGCAGGCTGCTATCTTGTTGTCGAATATATTGACAAAGTGAGCCAGTATACGCGTTCGCGCTCACGCACCACCACGGTCTGCTTGATGCTTTCCTTCGTCGCACACAGTTCGTCGATGCATTGCCGAGCGCTGGGAAGGTTCGAGCAGTAGTTGCCGTACACCAGGAACTTGTCACGCCACTTGAGAACGCAGTCGGCAATGCTCATGCTACAAATGAATGACGACGAGTCTCGGAGATGCACACAGACCTGCTCGGGAATGGAATCCGTAACATCGACTACGGCATTTTGGCGAGAACAAGAATTAACAACGGGTGCCGCTACAGACGTGGCGGTTTCATTTAGCTATTAAAGCTTACACGCAGTTCAAGCATATGAGCCAGATGATGCAAATCTTTAGCAGGATATACCTGCCAGTGGTGTACGCCCTCTGTAGGTCATTGTAAAAGCCCGTATGTACTGTATGAAGCTCTTCAATGTGCCTAAAGATTAGCTGGTGCTTGTCCTCTGGAATGACAGTCTTCAGTGGTCGTTTAAAATTCTGAAATGAGTTTTGCTTTTTTGCAACTATGCAGCATCATGTCTATGAAATCTGGATGAGATCAATTACCAATTATGTAAAATAATTTAAATAATAAGTAATTAATTATAATATCATAGGTAATTTAATAGTTGAACAATTAGATAGCGAGAGAGGGAGAAAGAGAGCATGAGAGAAATTGAGCAAGCGAGAGAGAGTAAGAGAGAGAGAGAGAAAGAGAGAGAGAGAGAGAGAGAGAGAGAGAGCAACGGAGAGTGACCAAACGAGAGAGACGGGGGACAAAGTGCAAAAGTGAGAGAGAGACAGCGATAGAGAGACAGGGAGAGGTAGAGTACATCAGAGAGAAAGCAAAAGAGGGCGAGCAAGAAGGATGGCGAGTGAGTGCAAACAAGAGAGAGAGAGAGAGCGCGAGAAAGAGAACGAGATAGAGAGAGAGAGAGAGAGAGAGAGAGAGAGAGAAAGAGAGAGAGAAAGAGGAGATGGGAAGTTAGAGAGGTGAAGATATATGAGTACCCGTACCATTATGAGTGAGTTTATGCCCCTAACGTAGTTCTGCTCCGTTTCCACAAGTTCTTTAGTGACGTGCTCGCGCTTACTGAGCTTTGGCGCACTGGGCACCATCTCCGTTGGCTATAGACAACACAGACAACATTCAAGTGCCTTTTATAAACCCCCGCGTGGTAACGAAAGCTTATATTAGCATGAAATATCAGTTACGGGCCACCCATCACTGTGGAACTAGCATTCTTCAATAAACTGAAAAATGCATCGACAATAATTAATCATTTAAAAATTAATTAGAGAAATTAATATTGTGAATATAAGAGGAATAGGCATGACAAAAAGTGAACGTTGGTTATAGGCCAGGAGCATTTCTCTACCGATTCCTTGGGCTGGTGTATTCCGCAGACATCTTCGTAGATGTCCTCGTAGTCGACGTAGTCATCTTTGTAGTCCTGGTCTTCGTCCGGGATGCTTCTGCGAAAAATGGCGACGACGCACGTGACGAATTTATGTGTCGCGAGCCACAGGTGCAAGCCTCCCTCCCACGCAGACAGCGCAAGCAGATCGCGAACAGCCGATTACATGACCCACAAGACTGTCATCAGATGGCATTAATATGAGGCGGCTCACTGGCACCAGATTGCGTGATACGTCTGCGAAAGGGTACGTACCTCTTATTGGCAAGGTCCTCAAGGTCCATGTAAATCGACTCATTATTGTACTGATGATGCCTGTTATCCACTGTTGGGAATCCCCTGGTGATAAAAAACAGTGGATCGGTGTGAAGATGTGCAATTGGGTGCCATATTTTATCAACAACTCCTTACAAAAACGCAAAAAAACAAACGTATTTAGAAGTTGCTTGAAAGATCTTCGACGTCATTAATCATTAATCATTAACTCTGGGCACGCACATTTATTTACAAAGAGATTGCCAGTGTGATTGTAAATGCTTACTGAATATTTGACACAACAGCCTTTGTAGATTTGGAAAGTATAGACATGGTTCGAAGCACCTATATGGAATAAAACACATCATACTTAAACAGCTAATCCAATCATTCAATTTGTCATCAACCCTTGTCATTAACCCTTACTTATGAAGAGCAATGCTATGGTAAATATATATCAAAACAATTTGTTAACAATGGCATAATGTTAGAACAGCTACTCGTGACTTTAACAATGTGGATAACTAGTCTTAAATACTAGCATAGATAATAAACTCGTCTTTATAAAGTTAATAGCCCAAAGTAAATGTTTCGGCTGAACTACTATAGTTTATCAGGTTTATCACGCAATCCCTTCTGATCCACTAGTTCACTAAGTATACATATATACATATTTATGTGTCTGCACTGTACCTGGCCAAAGTTCGATAGGTTGAACAGATCACACGCGTCAAACAGATCGGCCGAGTTGATTTCAAATATCATTTGACACGAATGCAAGAAGGCCTCGATGTTTTTCTGACAGAGGAACTGCAATGGAACAGCATTATGGTATATCTTACCACTAACAATAGTGCAATCTATGAGCTGCGAGTATACTTCACTCATTCTTACACATAACGAAGAGTAGGATAATACGGCATTGTATAATGCACTTCTGATATAGCATGGGAGGCGCTCATTTTGTTCGTAGAAAGCGCGATGAAATGTAGAAAAAACGCCTACGTCGACAAAGGATCATATATCGGCCTAACCCTAACCATGTCTTTCGCAGGCCGCTTGTAAAAATTGTCTCCTGTTCACTCGAATTCTCTCGAAATCACCTGCACCCTTATGTAATGTAACTAAAGGGGCGAAACGGGTAGCATAGCGCAATCACAAGGTTACACGGATTCGAATGTTTGTCTGTACTTGCTCATTGCTGGCAATTTGCTTCGACCGCCACCCGCAACGCTCTACCATAGAATTCCATAGATCGTTTATGCAGAGCAACTCATTTTATTATCGTTTCACCCTCATTTTGCTTCCCGCATCGAATTCGTTTGCAATTCTTATGGCAACGCAAATAGGAATATGAATGAAAATGAAAACGAAGTAAATCAATAACGAAAAGATACGAAAATTAAAGAGGAATTCATGTAAACTAGAACTGAAAATATGAAAAGGAATTGAATGCATGTGCGGATCGCTAAAGAATGTATATATAGTATAGAAATATCGCAACCACCTGGGACATCGTCCGCTGACAGAGGATAACAGCTTTGCAATATCTTATTCAGACACTAGAGTTGCGAGAAAACAGGGTCGGAAATTGAAAATGTATGAGCAGCGGAGAAGGTGGTGAGAGAAACTAAAGAGAAAAAGGGAAGTGGAGGAGAGGTGCGACAGACGGAAGAGGCCAGAGGGGGTGGTGGAGCCAAGCGAGACGACAAAAGGAAAAAGAAATTGAATGAAAGAGCGCGATGAATATCAAGTAGTAGGACAGAGAGTAAGGCAAGGAGATAGAGAAGTCTGTAACACACATATCTTGACACATATAATATATATGTGTGTGTGTGTGTGTGTGTGTGTGTGTGTGTGTGTGTGTGCGTGCATGCGTGCGTGCGTGCGTGCGTGCGTGCGTGCGTGCGTGCATGCGTGCGTGTGTGCGTGTGTGCGTTCGTTCGTGTGTGTGCGTGTATGTAATAGCAGCGCTAGACGTGATGCGGTCATGATGCCGAGGCGCGCCGAGGATTGACACTTTGTGTCTTTCAATCACAGCCTACGCCGCACCAGTGTTTTATATTTTTAAATATGGGGACCCATTGGACCAACAAATTGCCGATCTCACAAACTAGGGTATTTTGCTAGGCTAGAACGGTTTCCTACGATAGAGTTTGGCACAAATACGAAAATAACACGCTGTTTAGCGCACTGCGCTACGTCATTCTGTTGCATTTTCGCATTTCCGTAATTAATCAGAATAAGCCCCGCCTTCTTCGTTGATGGGCATGAATGGGGCGTCAACGACGTGACCCGTTACTG